GTCGTGCGTCGTGACTGTCGTAATCACTGTGGCTGTCATCTGTGGTGCGGGTCGGTTTTTTTTGTGGGTTTTGCGTGGCATGTGTTTCTCTGGTGAGCTGTCTGCACTATCTGGTTGGTCATGCTTGCGTAGTGCGCGTCCCTCTCGCGAGTGATCCCTGTTGGTGGTTCTACGTCGGTCGTGTGTGCATGTCGCGTGTGTTTCTGGCGAGCTGTCTGTACTACCCGGTTGGTCATATTTGCGCAGTGTGCGTCTTTGTGGTGAGTGATCTCTGTGGTTGGTTCTACGTTGGTCGTGTGTACGTGTCGCGCGTGTGTTTCTGGCGAGCTGTCTGCACTACCCGGTTGGTCATATTTGCGCAGTGTGCGTCTTTGTGGTGAGTGATCTCTGTGGTTGGTTCTACGTTGGTCGTGTGTACGTGTCGCGTGTGTTTCTGGCGAGCTGTCTGCACTACCCGGTTGGTCATATTTGCGCAGTGTGCGTCTTTGTGGTGAGTGATCTCTGTGGTTGGTTCTACGTTGGTCGTGTGTACGTGTCGCGTGTGTTTCTGGCGAGCTGTCTGCACTACCCGGTTGGTCATATTTGCGCAGTGTGCATCTGTGTGGTGAGTGATCCCTGTCTTTGAGTTGCTCGTGTTCTTTTTTCTCCGTTTTTATTTGTACTGCATATCTTGCCAATTTTTTCTTTATTTTTCCTTTCCCTCCAGCTTCGGGGTCGTCAGTCTCAATTTGTTTTGTCTGTATCTCTCCCTCCCTTCTCTCGAATTGTGAGGGGTATTCTTTGTGACGGATATTTTGATCGATACCCATACATTTTGTGTGATCTGTCCCAGGATTGCACCCCCGTGGGTCGAAGTGTGACAGGCTGGTGATCCCACTTGTGTGCTGTGTGTCAACATTTGTGGTTTTTGCCAATGTCTCTAGGTAGTATACCTGCTCATCCAGGAGGGCTTGGAGGCGTTCTACCTCGTTTTGCACGCTCCGTCTTTCATTTTTTTTCCTTTCATATCTTTCCTCATTCCAGGCTCTTTCTCGGTCTGTTTGTCGGAGGAGATACGAGTCTAATCTTGCTATTTCCGCAATTTTCACATCATGTTCGCTTTTGGCACATTTTATCAAATCCTTCAGAAGTGTTGCCCGGTGTATCTTAATGTCGTCGATACAGCTCCCTTCCCATACGTCTCTATGCTTATCCTGCTCTGTGGCAGTCCGGCCTGTGCGTTGCAGCACAATTTCCCGATAATCTTCCTCTAGTGAGTCCATCGTCCCTCGGGAGGGCTGATCCCCGTTATTGGGGTCACTCATTTGGGTGCCAGTCTTAGAACCTTGTGAGTCGGATTCCGTTTTCGTGGACTCGAGAATTAATCTTAGCCTTAACATTTCTCGTGTGGCATCAGCTGCCCTGACATTCTTTTTCAGAGTACTTATAAAACAATTGTATCAGAAAATGTAGTCAGTTTGACTCGAGTTATTCTGTTATTTTCCGATTCAGTGTGCGTACCTCTAACACCATTTATCACAGGATGCAATTGGTTCGATACGATATTATCTTAATTCCATTCTTTGTTTCAACCTGCTATTCTGGGTTTTAACCTCAGAGGGCGTTTTTTTTTGTTTTACGCCCGTTAACAATCACAATGCAATGTTTAGTCACGATATTCTGGTTAACACGTAGTGATTCATTCCTTCATCCATGCAAAACACTGTCTGCGAGAGATCCCGGACGAGCCACCCATTTTGTTGTATGTGTTGGAATTAAGAAATTTTGATAAAAATAATAAAAATTAATAATTTTCCGAAAAATGCGCAAATCGCATTAATTATGTTAATGTGTGTATTAACATGCATAAATTATGATAATGTGTGTAATTATATGCACACATTATGCTAATCACGGAGATAATCGTAGTAATTTATGCGGATGCTTGCGATTATGTTAATGTGTGCAGATGTGATAATTAGGCTTGGTTTCGTTTATCCAGAGTTATATCAATCAGGATAACACGATTATCATCGATTAAACATTTACCGATTATCTTAGTGTGTTTATGTTATTTTAGGTCTCCAGTTTCAGATCTCATCACAGGATACAGTTATCAAGAATAAGATAGTTTTGCATGGACTTGGAAGGAACACTCGAGTCGCTTCTGTGATAACAATTTTATTCTAACAAGCATGTGACATTCTATCATGCAGGTCAAACATGCGTCAATAATTCATGAGCAAGATTATGCAATTGACAAAAATGGATAACTAAAAATACTTCTTCATTTGCGAGACTATGCATTTAACTCAATTGAATAACCAAACTCTTATGCATTTGCGAGATTATGCATTCGACTAAAATGAATGAATAAAATGAATGAATAAACACTTATGCATTTGCGAGACTATGCATTTGACTAAAATGAATGAATAGACACTTATGCATTTGCGAGACTATGCATTTAGCTAAATTGAATAACTCAAAACTCTTATGCATTTGCGAGATTATGCATTAACTAATATGAATGAATAAACACTTGTGCATTTGCGACATTATGCATTTAACGAACCGAATGACTAAAAACCCTCCTAACAATCGTAACTTCTACCTTTCCACCAGGCATCTCAGTAGTTCCCCCATGTATCGAGCACAACCGGCGACTGGCGGAGTTTTAAAACGGACATGCGACGATTTGTATGAAGGCAATAAAAGCAACTTATTATATCCCAGAGGCGAAAGTATATGTCAATAGATTCATCGGCAAGTATAAAATCCTTTTTAACGAAATGTTTGAGACAAGGGTGGGTGGATGCGTGTTGTGAGAGGGAGTATCGGCTCTGCTTTGATTAATTCCTCAGCGAGATTCACTGACAAAGAAAACCGATTTGACAAGATATTCTCTATCTATATATGGGTCGATTCGTAATGACGATTCCGAGAGTTTGAGTTTGCCTCGACGAATCTATTGATCGCCTATGCGATGAACGGGACAAAGGAAAAAGCAAGGAAAATAACCTCACTCTTATAACCGACGGACTCTTAATCACTCGATGGGCCGCGATTCCTCATGGCCAGCTGATGGTTCATGTAGTTGATAATCAGTCTTCTGATAATTGACTAGGGTTGATACGATGGTAAGGGTGAAATAGATAGGATAGTCTCACAGGTGAGTGGGGCGTCGATGCGTGTGTGTGTGGGTCTATTGGTGGGGGGAAGTTGTGGGTACGAACGACTTTCGGAGAAGGACCCTCTGGCTTGCGCAGCTGCGGTGAGCGGGTGAGCGGCTCGCTTTCCGACTCCTCCCTCGGCTGACCCCGTACGATGACTGACGGCGCGGGTAGGCGAGCACCTCGGCGTGGCGGCACGGCAAGGGAGCTGGGCTCGTACACTCGTGTGCAGCAGGCGAGCACCTCGGCGTGGCGGCACGACAAGGGGGTTGAGGCTCGTACACTCGTGTGCGGCAGGCGAGCACCTCGGCGTGGCGGCACGGCAAGGGGGTTGAGGCTCGTACTCTCGTGTGCGGCAGGCGAGCACTTTGGCTTGGCGATGCACTTTGGCTTGGCGAAGCACGTCGCCACCCCGCGAGCCTCGTCCTTCTGGATGACGAGAGCTTCTTCATTGGCGGTGACGAGAGGAGATGGGGCCGACGCCCCGTACGATCTGTGGTGGGGGCCTGAGCCCCTGACGATCTGAGTTGAATGGATTTTTCCCCGGCTTATATTGAAAAAAATCCACTCAGTCTTCCCGAGTTGTTCGAAGGCCGTCATATATCTTTCTGTGGGTTGAACACATCTGCGTCCGTGTGTTTCGTGTGTCGTGTGCGTATTTATTAGTAAAGACACAGCTGTGTAATCATTCTGGAAGGGGGGGTGGGGAATGTTATTTGCTCGCGTGTGCAAATCTTGCTGTCCGTGCTGCGGGGAGACAAAGACGGCCGTGTTTAACTCAACGTGAGCACCCTCTCCTCTCTCCGCGTCTCTTGCGAGAGAAAACAAACAAAAAACAAAGCGAGAAGAAGCAGGCACCCCCGCGACCTCTCCTCGCGACCTTTCCTAACCCTCCAAGCATTCATGGGCCATCTGTTTGTGCTGCGGGAAGACAAAGACGGCCGTGCTTAACTCCAAAGCGCGAGCACCCTCTCCTCTCTCCGCGTCTCTTGCGAGAGAAAACAAACAGAATAAAAAAACAGATATCTTTGGAATGTCAGGCACCGATTCCCCCCTGTGACTTTTTTGCTCCCTCTTTGCTTGCCAGACCCCGCTGGAAGACAAAGGTGGCTGAGGAGATGTTTGCAATACATTTATGTGGTCCTGTGTGTTACATTTTTTCTTGAATTATATTTTATGAGTTCCTTCGGTCTTAGTATCGTGGTTATCATTCGTCTATGTTTAATGAATATTCGTAATGATCCTCGTCACATTATTATTTTGGGGCTTCGCCAAGTTTAGTTCTCCAGAGATTGGTGTTTTATTCTGAGTTATATTTTAATGTCCTGAGGTTAAGTGTAACTATGTTTCCACTTAAGCTTTCTGGAATTCGTACTCTTTAGTTTTTAGGAAGGTCGTGTAGGTAGGAAACATATACTAATAATAAAAATATTATTGTTTGTTGGTTAATTATCTTTGTTAAGTTTCTACTTTTCGGTAAGGAAAACGTTAAGAAAACGCGTGTTGCAACCGTTATTTACTCTGCACCTTATCTGTACAGCTCCAGATGTCTTGGGAGGCTAGTCCATACATCTTTTTGTCCATCTGGATGTCTATGACCTCTCTGTGACCGAATTCTTATCATTTTAACCGCCCTCCGTGTTTCATGGATTCCTGGTGTGCTTGTGAGAAGTGAGTTGTTTTCATTGTTTAATAAAAAAAATATATATAGATAAAAAATATATATATATATAATTAAAAAAAAATTTGAATTGTTCTTAATAAAAAAAAGGGTATAGACACAACACAACTAACACAACACATTTATAATAACCGTGTTACAAACCTCCGATAAGCACGGTTGGCTACGTATGGTGCGAAAGAAGTTCAACATGCATGCAACTATACAGCACTAATATACACTACACGACGACACATCATACACTACACTACACACCACACACGATACACTATTATACACTACACATTACACTAAACTACGATACACGACACCACTATACTACATTGACTACATTGACAACATACATACGTTCCGTAAAAAAACCCAATATATTCGGCCAGCATCAGGTGGAGAGATGTTATCTGTCTTGCTTCGTATTCATGAGTTCATGGGTTTAATACCGACCCTGACACCTGTATATTTGGAGTTTGCACGTTCTCCCCGTAGTCGCATGGAATTTTCTCCGGGTCCTCCGGTTTTTTCCTCCACATTTAGAAACATGCGTTTAGAGTATTAAATAATGTAGAGTTAAGTGCTGTTAGTGAGTTTCACCTATGAAGGCCAGCCTGGGAGAGACCTGCCTTTGGATTCCCAGGGGTAATGTTTACTCATTGCACCAGGTAGTAATTTGCGGCTGAGTGGACCTAGGGGAGACCCAAGACCGATTCATATAATCGCTATCAATGATGTTTGTAAACCGGTCATGGGCTTCCCCTAGGTCGACTCAGCCTCAAATTAGTTCCTGGTGCAGTGTGTAAACATCGCCACAGGGGAGACAAAGGCGGTCGTGCGTGGTGCTGGCCACCCACCCCCTCGTGTACCGTTCCGGCCTTCATAGGTGCTCGCTAACAGCACTTGCCCCAACAGTCTGTTCGTGCTATACGGGGGATCTTTGTATATCTGTGTGTATCTGTGTGTTTGTATCTGCGTGTGATAGTGTGTCTGTGTGTATGTATGTGAGTGTGTGTGTATATCTGTGTGCGTGTCTATTTAGCCTTCACAGACTGTTGGGGAAAGGGCTGCTCGTAGCAAGTAGCAGAGCCTGTGGCCAGCACCAAAACAAAAATAGACACAAAGACACACACAGACACAGTAACAAAGAAACACACACAGACAAAGGCATACAGACCAACCCACTACCCCAAAGAAAAATTTCCCCCGTGTAGCCTTAACAGACTGTAGGGGCAAGTGCTGTTTGTCAGTAGCACCTCTGAAGGCTGGCACTGTGGCACACGAGGGATCTGGTAACCAGCACAACGCCCGACCCGCCTTTCTCTCCCCAGTGGCGATGTTTGCACATCGCAGCAGGTACTCATTTGAGGCTCAGTCGACCTAGGGGAGAGCCTGGACCGATTGTGACAATCGTCACTGGTGCTGGTGAACCGGTCATGGGCCTCCCCTAGGTCTACTCAGCCTGAAGAGTTTATGGTACAGTGTGTAAACATCAACACTGGGGAGACAGAGGCGGCCGGGCGCGGTGTTGGCAACCCACCCCCTCGAGTGCCATGCCGGCCTTCATAGATGCTCGCTGACAGCACTTGCCCCAACAGCCTGTTTAGGCTGCACGGGGGATCTGTGTCTTTGGGTGCATGAGTCTGTACGTTGAGCCCGTTTCTCTGCGCTGCTCACATTCCGTGCTCTCAGGACGCACGACTCAGATCCAGAATCCTCACTGAGCTACCATCACCCCACACATACAGTGCGGGATAGAGCGGTTGACTAAACGAGCGGTGGACGGAGTGCAGCAGCTCCATGGAGTCTGCGCGGTAAAATGACAGCAGCCCCGCCTCCCAGTGCAGGTGACACCCGACTCTCCGGGGAGGATCCCTCACCGGCACTGAGGTCTCTACACCACCATGACGCACTGAGCAGTTGTTATCTATACGTAAAACCCAGGACGAGTCGTTGTGTCCCAGCAAGCACTCTTTACCACTCCCTTTCCGTGCGATCGTTCCGTACGCGACTCCAACCATACAGCTCCCCGTCGCACCCCCCAAGTCCACCTCCCAGTAGTGCTGACCCGACGAGAAGCTCTCGGAGCACAGGGCTTGTGACCAGGCATAAAAGCGGTGTGGGTGATTGGGGAGACCCTGGGAGACAGCGGTCCGCGTCACCGTCCTGAGGTCCCAGGAAATCTGAAGTTCGTTGTGGGCCGAGTTTGGGTCCAGAGTCGGTGAGCGTCCGTCTGCAGTAACGATAATCACAGTAGCAGTGGTAACAACAGTACCACTATATCAATAGCACTCGTACACTAACACACACAGACACTCCAACAGAGCAATTCATAATGAGCATTGTTATACTACGTTGTAATGCGTAGCTATCGGTGTGATGACATGTAACGGACACTTTGTCAATCCACTGCTGGATGAGGGCCACCCTACACCGTGCGGGTCGCGGGGGATATTTGACCATACTTCACCAGGCTGGTCACGCGCGTTGGCGAAGTCAGGTGGCGCAGCTGGCGAGAGCCAGAAGTACAGTACAGCGGTGCGTTTGTCTGCCCCGCCACCTGCTGCCCCGTCACGTGGCCCCGCAGCCTGTAGCACCTGCTAGGCAGGGTGGTGGCTGCCCCACCACGTGGCCGCGCAGCCTGTAGCACCTGCTAGGCAGGGTGGTGACTGCCCCGCCACGTGGCCCCGCAGCCTGTAGCACCTGCTAGGCAGGATGGTGGTGGCCGCCCGTGCGAGCCCTGCCCAGGCCCAGCCCCTGTGGGGCTTTGCGAGGTGCCAGGAGGTGGGGCGCTCTGTGCCCTGGGGCAGCACGATTTGGGGAGAATCTCTAATTGCGATTTTTCTGACAGATATTGCGATTTGATTAGCGATTACATTTTTTTAAGTCAAGCTTCAGTTCAATAGTCACTGTGTAATAGATTTAAAACATGTGATGGAGCATGACCACATGATACCATCAAAATGTGAACTGCTCTGTATAATTTAATGCAAAGATGATAACTTAAAAAATATGAATTGCTTCCAACATGTATTTATTAAAATGTTTTAATTGTAATAGAACGATCAAACATAGAACAATTGTTAAGTTAAATAAATAAAGTTTTAATAAAAATTTAAACAATTCCAATAAGAAAGTAATAGGACTTTTCACATCGCAAAAAAATCGCAGCCTTTGCGATTTCCTAATCGCATTGTCTCAAATTTCGACGTCGAATTGAAATCGACTAATCGTTCAGCCCTACTGTGCGGTAGTGTCCGTGGGAGGCAGTTGATCACAGCAGCAGCGTGGATATCAACACCGCCGTAGCGTCTCTGTGTGTGTACAACAAACACAAACATCTCCCTTGTGTCACCTTTCACAGGCTGTAGGGGCAAGTGGTGTTGGTGAGGACCTGTGGAGGCCGGCACGGTACACGAGGTGGGTGTGACAGTGTAGTGATGTACACTCGTGTGTGTGTGTGAGATGATGTAGTGATGTACACTCGTGTGTGTGTGTGAGATGATGTAGTGATGTACACACGTGTGTGACAGTGTAGTGATGTACACTCGTGTGTGTGTGTGAGATGATGTAGTGATGTACACTCGCAGCGGGAAGGCCGCCATTTCCCCACACCCGCCAGCCCACAGTGGGACGTCCCTGCGCTGCATCGTCGACTCCTGTTCGTGCGTGAATTCACGGCGTCTGGCGGGGATTGGGAGGCGTTTGAACGCCGCTTCTCCTGGACGGCACTCTACGCTGGCGTCGGTCTTCAAGGAGATGGCCACCATCTACGACCCGCCGTCCAGTGTTTGGAACACGTTCGTGGAACGACGGTGGGGGGAAACCGAAGACGCCCCTCGCCTTCAGAAACGCCCTTTTGTCGCTGGCTTAGGCAGCATTTCCGAAACTGGAGGCGGCGGGCATAGACTCCCTGGTGATGGGACAGACAGTTGGGGATTGCGCCGATGATGGCAGCCTCGGCCGGTCGGTGCGCGCTGTTTTTGTCTTGTTTTGCTTGATCACCCGTGCCGGTGAGAGAGGCCTGCTGCTCAGTACACCCGTGCTGGTGAGAGAGGCCTGCTGCTCAGCACACCCGTGCCGGCGAGAGAGGCCTGCTGCTCAGCACACCCGTGTTGGTGAGGGAGCCCTGCTGCTCAGCACACCTGTGCTGGTGAGAGGGGCCTGCTGCTCAGCACACCCGTGCCGGTGAGAGAGGCCTGCTGCTCAGCACACCCGTGTTGGTGAGAGAGGCCTGCTGCTCAGCACACCCGTGTTGGTGAGAGAGGCCTGCTGCTCAACACACCCGTGCTGGTGAGAGAGGCCTGCTGCTCAACACACCCGTGCTGGTGTGAGGGGCATTCTGCTCAGCACACCCGTGCTGGTGAGAGAGGCCTGCTGCTCAGCACCCCCGTGTTGGTGAGAGAGGCCTGCTGCTCAACACACCCGTGCTGGTGAGAGAGGCCTGCTGCTCAACACACACGTGCTGGTGTGAGGGGCATGCTGCTCAGCACACCCATGCCGGTGAGAGAGGCCTGCTGCTCAACACACCCGTGCCGGTGAGAGAGGCCTGCTGCTCAGCTCACCCATTCCGGTGAGAGAGGCCTGCTGCTCAACACACCCGTGCCGGTGAGAGAGGCCTGCTTCTCAGCACACCCGTGCCGGTGAGAGAGGCCTGCTGCTCAGCACACCTGTGCCGGTGAGAGAGGCCTGCTGCTCAGCTCACCCGTGCCGGTGAGAGAGGCCTGCTGCTCAGCACACCCGTGCTGGTGAGAAGATGGCGCTGATTATGGTAGCCTCAGCCAGTCGGTGGGCCCTGTTGTGTCTTGTTTTGTCTGTTAATTCAGTGTTCTGCCAAGATTTTCGGAGTTCTCTGACAAGAGACGAACTTCTAAACATCAGGGAAACAACTCCTGTGGACTTATTTCCCACTTTTCTGCTTCCAGCGGCAGAATTAGTGGGCATTCTAGTCACAACCGCGCAAGGCTGCAATCAAGCAGCAAACGCCGCCGAAGGGGTAAACGGTCGGGGGCTCTAGAACGGCTACGCAGACGCGGGATCCGAACAGTGCTTCCGAGCTTTTTCCTCTCCAACGTACGTTCACTATGTAACAAAATGGACGAACTTCAACTACTGATGGTGAAAAACAGAGACTTTATTTTATGCTTCACAGAGACATGGCTGTGTGATTTGATCCCAGACACTGCGTTACAACTGGCAGGCTTCCAACTCGTAAGATCGGATCGGGACATAGCACTCTCCGACAAGACGAAAGGCGGTGGTATATGTTTTTACATTAATAGTGGCTGGTGTGTAGATGTCACAGTGATTCTGCAACATTGTTCTCCGTTCCTTGAATCATTTTTTATAAACTATAAACCTTTCTACTCGCCTCGCGAGTTCGTGTCGTTCATTTTGGTCGGAATATATTTGCTGCCGGGACCTCAGGTTAAAGAGGCCCAACGCATGCTCGCCGACCAGATTCTAAGTGTGGAGCGAGCAAATCCAGATTCGCTGGTTATCGTACTTGGCGACTTTAACAAAGGTAATCTCAGCCACGAACTCCCCAAATACAGACAATTCATTAAATGCCCTACCAGAGAAGGGAACACTCTGGATCACTGTTACACTACAGTCAGTAGAGCCTACCACGCCGTCCCCAGAGCAGCACTGGGACATTCTGACCATGTCATGGTCCACCTAATTCCTGCATACAGGCAGAAACTAAAGCTCTGTAAACCTGCTGTGAGAACATTTAAACAGTGGACCAGTGAGGCTATAGAGGAATTGCGGGCGTGCTTGGACTGTACTGACTGGGATATGTTCACGACTGCTACCAATAGTCTGGATGAACTCACAGAGGCTGTGACGTCGTACATCAGCTTCTGTGAGGACTGCTGTATTCCAACACGCACCAGGGTGAACTTCAACAACAACAAGCCCTGGTTCTCAGCAAAGCTCAGAAGGTTGAGGTTGGAGAAGGAGGAAGCGTTTAGGAGTGGGGATAGAGACAGATTCAAGGAGTTGAAGAACAGGTTTAGCAAGGCGGTGAGAGAGGCTAAACGATTGTACTCCGAGAGACTAAAACACCAGTTCTCTGCTAACGACTCTGCTTCTGTCTGGAGAGGGCTCAGGCAGATCACCAACTACAAGCCCAGAGCACACCACACCACTAACGACTCCCACCTAGCCAACGACCTGAACGAGTTCTACTGCAGATTTGAAAGACAATTGGACTGTCCTGAACTACCCCTTCCAACCCAAGAGGCCCCTATCCCACCCCACACTACAAAACAACTATCTCCATTCAGGAGGGAGAATTTAAAATACTTTTCAAGAGGCAGAACCCACGCAAAGCAGCTGGGCCGGACTCTGTCTCTCCAGCCACCCTCAGGCACTGCGCGGACCAGCTGTCTCCGGTGTTCACCAACATCTTTACCACCTCCATGGAGACATGCCATGTACCAGCCTGTCTCAAGTCCTCCATCATCATTCCAGTGCCCAAAAAGCCAAGGCCAACAGGATTAAATTATTACAGACCCATCGCCCTTACCTCCGTTGTAATGAAGTCTTTTGAGCGCCTGGTCCTGGCACACCTCAAAGCCATCACAGACCCTCTACTGGACCCCCTTCAGTTTGCCTACAGAGCCAACAGGTCTGTGGATGACTTAGTTAACATGGCCCTCCACTTCACCCTACAGCATCTGGAATCCACAGCATCCTACGCCAGGATCCTGTTTGTGGACTTTAGCTCGGCTTTTAACACCATCATTCCTAGCCTGCTTCAGGATAAGCTTTCCCTGCTGAACGTGCCAGACTCCACCTGCAGATGGATCACAGACTTCCTGTCTGACAGGAAGCAGTGCGTCAAGCTGGGATCACAAGTTTCTGCCTCCAGGTCAATCAGCACCGGATCTCCTCTGGGCTGCGTCCTTTCCCCTTTGCTATTCACCCTGTACACCAACAGCTGCACCTCCAGTCACCCGTCCGTCAAACTCTTGAAGTTTGCGGACGACACCACCCTCATTGGGCTAATTTCTGATGGGGATGAGACTGACTATAGGAGGGAAGCTGACAACCTGGTGACCTGGTGTAGCCAGAAAAACCTGGAGCTTAATGCTCTTAAGACTGTGGAGATGGTTGTGGACTTCAGGAAGAATACAGCCCCACTAACCCCCATCACCCTGTGCGACTCCCCAGTCACCAATGTTGAGTCCTTCCGCTTCCTGGGCACTATTCTTTCCCAGGACCTCA